CTGTTTCATTATCTCCGCGAGCGCTCATCTATTTCCATTCTATCATAAATATTCTCTTGGAGTGCCCCTGGAAGAAAGTATTCCCTCCGCACATTTATGACTGTACACTTTACCCGCACTCTTCACATACCCCCCACCCCCACAACCACACATGTACACACACACACACACACACATGCACACGTACTCGTGCACCCGCGTGCAGGTTGGGCGGGTGCAACCCATGGTTGTGCACTGCTCTGCGGGCATTGGTCGTTCGGGTGTCTTCATCGGCCTGGACATAATGATGCAGCAGGTGGGTTTCAAAGCCTCGTTGCCGGTGTACACAAATACACAACCGCACTCGCACAAGAGCGCGTACGTGTACTCACTCATGTATCCCCCCCCCCACACACACACACACACGCACACTCGCGAACCGAACCGTCGCCAACATCTCATATATGTATGTTTTGTTTTGGCCTTTCCCGATTTCACGCAACGTTGCAGGCACGGGCGTCGCATCAGGTTGACCCGATGGGTGTGCTGTGCCACATGCGGCGAGCGCGGGGCGGGTGTGTACAGAAGCCATCACAATGGCGCTGGCTCGTGACAGCTGCACGCGACTATCTCTCTGCGACGCTTGCCCTTGGCCGCAACGGTGGTGGTGATGTCGATGACGATGATGGTGAAGAAGCATAGCAAGAACAAGCTGCACGTGCACATGCGTGTGTGTGTGTGTGTGTGTGTGTGTGTGTGTGTGTGTGTGTGTGTGTGTGTGTACATGTGTGTGTGTACATGTGTGTGTGTGTGTGCACATGTGTGTGTGTGTGTGTGTGTACATGTGTGTGTGTACATGTGTGTGTGTGTGTGTGTCATCGTGAGAACATGTCTCCCATCTCGCCGTCCTTCCTTCCTTCCCTCCTTCCCTTCGAGCCAGCTCGATTGTTGTTGTTATCCAAACCAACCCGTTTGTTACCGTACCTTGCATTGCGCTCTTTTCCAATATTGCCTTGCCTGCTTCGTGCTTGCCTTGAGACCGTCCACGCCTGCCAGGCGTGACATGTCATGTGTGAAAGTAAAACATAACAAGCGACGAGTGAGTTAGATGCAGCAAACGCAGCTCTCACTTCTTCATCCGTTCACACAAACAACTCGCTCGCTTGTCCTTGACGGGTATTTACAATATTTTGTAGCAATTTTCTTTTCTCAAGGATGGCTTGTCAAGGAGATGCATTTTGCTTTTGTTTTGCTTTCAACAAGAACATCCACCCTTGCACTCGGCTCTCCTCCTTCCAAACACCACCTCACCAGCCCATCATGTCTGCGTGTTGCTCCGCTGCGGGAGTGGCGCTCGCGCTGCTGGTGGTGCATGGCGCGTGTGTGCTTGGTGAAGTGGTGATGGTCCAGGACAATTACGGCACGCTGCACATCAACACGACGGGCGGCGAAGACGAGTCAGTGTTGTTCAACGGCATGGACGTTGGCAAGCTGTTTGAGATGGTGCAGGCGCAAGCAAGCACCCTCAGCACCCTGCAGACCCGACTTGAGGCGCAAGAGCAGTACACATGCTTCCTGAGGCGCCCCGCCGCGGATGCCAGCACCATGCCCAGCGTTGGCACCGCCAACTCCGATTGGCTCGGCGGCGTCTTCAACCTGGAGGACGGCCTCGTCTACGGCATCCCACACCGCTCCACATCTGTGCTCATCATCGACCCCGCAACAAACACCGCGGACACCACAACCATCACCGGCCTCAGCTCAGGCGACAGCAAGTGGGCGGGCGGGGTCCTGGCTGCAAACGGCCTCATCTATGGGCTCCCGTACAACGCAGAGACGGTGCTCGTCATCGACCCGCGCACAAAGACGGCCGATGCAACCACCTTGGGTGGGATTGCGTCCGACGCTGAGAAGTGGCGCAGTGGCGTTGGTGCCGACAACGGCCTCATCTACGGCATCCCCTGGGGCGCGTCGTCCGTCCTCATCGTTGACCCGGTCACCAACACCACCGACACCACCTCCATCATCGGGCTCGGGGGCGGAGGTCTCAAGTGGTACGGCGGCGTTCAGGCCGGCAACGGCCTCATCTACAGCATTCCCCGCAGCGCCGCAGCAGTTCTTGTCATCAACCCAGCCACTAACACAGCGGACATCACAACCATCTCCGGCTTGTCCGGCAGCAACAAGTGGTACGGCACCGTGCTTGCAGGCAACGGCCTAGTCTACGGCATTCCGTTCAGTGACACGGCAGTAATCATCGTCGATCCAACCACGAACACCACCGACACGTCGACCATTGCCGGTCTGTCTGCCACGGGCCAAAAGTGGGCTGGTGGTGTGCTTGCAAGCACCGGACACATCATCGGCATCCCATTCTCGGCGTCATCTGCGCTTGTCATTGACCCTACCACCGACACAGTTGACGCTACCTCACTCTCTGTTCCGGCTGGCTCCTCCCAGTGGTGGGAAGGGACACCGGCCAGCAACGGCCTCATCTACGGCATTCCGTCCAGTGCCGAGGGCGTCCTCATCATTGACCCTGGCTGCTGAATGTGTGTCGGTGCGTCTGCGTCCGTGTGTGTGCGTCCGTGTGTGTGTGTGTGTGTGTGTGTGTGTGTGTGTGTGTGTGTGTGTGTGTGTGTGTGTGTGTGTGTGTGTGTGTGTCTGTCTGTCTGTCTGTCTGTCTGTCTGTCTATCTGCTTGTGTGTGATTGTGCTTCATTGCACCCCTCACCCCTGCTGGGGTCACGGTGCTGTTTCTTTTTGCAACAGCTGCGTACATGTACCTGTGTAATCCATCGTAAACG